CGCTGGAAACCACGCGTTGATGAAGCGACAACGTAGCCTTTTCATTGCATTTCTTACCCTTGTGTCTAATCAGAGCAGAGAGGAAGACGCAAGAGGCAATTTTTTTTTTCTTTGAGTGACAATGTTGGTTATTTTTCCGCATTCAGAGCAAGCTAACCAACCCCCAATTTGCGTTACTTTCTGAGAACTTCTGCAATTTGATTGGCTGAAAGTAGCTGTGCATCAGCTTAATCAAAAATAGCAATCGAACAACACCAGAATATATCATACCTAGTAAAAATGTGGCTCACCAGCGAGAAATCGAATCCAAATCACTGTTTGCATGTGAGAGCACTACACTACTAGTGATCGCGGGAGTTGAAAGTGTGCGAAAAAGATTAGACAGTAGGGAGATCAAGTAAAGACGTTTTTGAGCGACGCACGTCGACCGGAAGTAGACTTTTTGCATTCTGGGCCAGTGATTTTGCCCAAATTTTCGGGCAGATCGTCTATACAATAGTAAAGACACTTAGCAATAAACATTTTTTACTGTCAAGGCCTTTAAAAAAGGAAAGGGCCTCAATACGGTCTACGTGCGTCGCTCAAAAAACGCCTTTGCTTAAGCCTACTCCATTTCTAATCACATCATCGGAGACCCGATAGGAGTATGACGTCACGTAGGATCGAAAGCACGGTCTGTGTATTGAAATGAGCAAATAAAGCAAGAATTAACACGGCCGTTTTCATACTGAGTAAACCAGCCCTGAGTTATATGTCTCGGGGTTTGATTTCTCGCTGGTGAACCGTATTTTCACATGGTAGCTTATATTCCTACATGGGATTAGTTTCCTTTTTAGCAATTTTCATACATTTCCTCTCCCGCGGTCGTTGCAAAAAGCAAAAAGAGCTTGATCTCAGGTTAGCTTAGTAAGTGGGTCTATTTTTAACTGACTATACTACTTACACTATTGAAAGATTTATCTAACACGCCTGAAAAGACCGACATTGGCTTGACGATCTTGACAGTACGGAAAATTCCAAAAACTTCCTAAGTCCGTCTTAAGAGGGGTTTAACAGCTGGGCATAAATGCGACTCCAAGAAAAGGTCATAAACGAAGAATTCATTTGAAGTTATGGTGGATGCTGACATAAAAGATAAAAATAAAAAGTAATGTCCATTCCTCTTCTCGCGTCGGGCGCTAGTAACTAATATTTCACACATTTCTTTTATGGTTGTCTTGTACAACTACTTTAGTTCTTCGCTGTGTACATCCAGTATTTAATAGCCTAGGAAACATAAGCTCATATGACATGCAAGAGATTTTTTTGAAAGCCTCAGTGTGTAATTGTAACAGCAATCTAGCCTTTTTACCTTAATTTTTCACTGCTATATTGCTTGAAATTGTCCAGGAATTGGTTATCGCTGTACATGAAAATGATTAAATCAACTAAATGGCGGCTGGTGGTGCGAAAGTTGCCCAAGACTGAGTCTATCCTTATCGCTATAGATTGAGTTTTCTTTTCTAGGCATGAAACGCGGACTACGGACCACATTTTTTTTAAAAAAGGGCAAGGAGACGCAAAAACAAGATAAAATAACTGCGGGCTAGTATAAAACCGCACGTCTTGATGAGGTCAAGGAAAACTGGTACGGCCTACCCGTAGCAATGAAATTTTTAGATGCAAAATATCATTGGTTTCTTGGCATTACTTATCGACTATAGTACTTTCAATCTTATTGGTCCATCACCGTGCAACACACAGACAAACATACATAAATACAAAGACACAAAGATACACGCGCTATCAGACCACTGACATATCAACTATTCTTTGAAAACAGCTCAACAAGTTCAAATTTGCAGTACAAAGTTTCTACAGGCAAAACTCATCCTCTCTGGTGGCCGCTTCGCTACATAGAAACGCCTCAGAAGCTAACTCGCTATGTTCATTAAGGCAAGGCTTAATTTTGGAAGGGGACTTTTACGTTTTCTGAAAACCTAAAATTAGAAGGGACGTGAAGAAGATAGAGCCCCAAAACGAGGCTGAAGGTACCAAGGCTGAAAGCAGAGGCCTAGCTAATCAAAGATAACAAGTAAAAAATGTCAAACGCAGCCGGTTAGCGGAGAAAACAAAACAAAGGCCGAAAAAATCCAAAATAAAACACATGGCGGTGTTTACTCGAAAGGAAGAGATGTATATCTTTCCGGAATTCAAAGATGAATCATCAGGAAAACACCTGGTCTCTTCGGAAACAACTGCTACAATTTATTTTTATTTAGATGTTTGATTTGAAGTTTGGTTCGGTCTCTCAACATTTCACTGTTACTTCGCGAAAGCAGTGAAGAATTCAAAACATTACTTTTCTTGAAACGTCAAGTCAGAGTGTTTGTTGAATGTTGAATTGATTTGTACTATTTTAGCTCCTAGCTGACTTACGAAGTTTGAAATATAAAGCAGATCTGAAACTCAAATGCCCAACGGCCGCATCTGATTTGTACTCGGTATCACTCAGTCGCTG